CTTTATCAGATCAGACGGCCAGAAGACAAAAATAATCTGTCTGCATGTTTGTTTATTGTTTATATATATATATATATATATATATATATATGTGTGTGTGTGTGTGTGTGTGTGTGTTTGTCTGTGTGTTTGTGTCAGTCTGAAAAAGAGACTGAAAAAGAGAGAGAGAGAGAGAACAGTTGGTATCTGTTGGTTTTGAAAACAACCCAGCCAAACCAGAAAGTGATTTTTTTTTACTGTAAATGTTCCCTGAAGTATTTTTCAAAAACAGTTTGCGTTGTAATTATAAAAACTTTCTTACGCACACACAGACGTGTCTTTATGTGTATAAATTGTTTTATGGTACTATACTTTAATTCACTTCATATTTCAAAGTAAATCTAGTCTGTTTTCGTGTAGTGAGCAATATCAAATAATATATCTGATCAAAACCGAGTGTATCGATTTCTAAGAGTATATAATTGTCTATTTAAAAATAAGCGTGGATCTATTGAAATACATCACATTTCCTTATATTTACATGTATTTTTTAATCTTCTTTTTACTGTTCAGTACTCTCTTATTTTATTAGCGAATTTCTCTTCAAACAAAATTTTATTGTAGCCATCAACACATGAATATGTTTGTGTATGAAAAATTATTACGATATGATATTAAAAAAAAAACTCACACGCACAAAGGCACACACACACACATCACAAACTCCTATATAAATAAACTTAAATATTATATGTACATAAATTCCTATATAAGGATAGCATACCGGTGAATAAAAAATAATAAACGAAAAATAAAGTTCCTGATTATTTTTCAACGAAAAATAGAATGAGGTTTGACTTACGTTAAAAATACACACACACACACATACATACACACACACACACATACATACATACATTATATATATATATATATATATATATATATATATATATATACGTGTGTCGATTTGTACACTGCCCCATATTTATATTTTAACGCTAGCAGAGAATGATTTCTCAGAAGTCTATCGACTCTCACAGTCTCAATAGACTACATATACACACAACATTTCATATCCACGCATGCACCCACCCCCACAGACACACATCTCCACACCCCCACACACAGAGGAGCACAAATAAACACATGCGCGAACGTAAATATATATATATATATATATATATATATATATATATATATATATATATATATTAGACACAGACACACACACACACGTATGACCGTGAATATTTATATGTGCACATGGTTTTGCACATGATGTCCTCATTTAATCCCAATGATATTTTTTTGATGTCTTACCCTATCCAAATGAAGTCGATAATGGCTCTTACCAGCTTCTATTTCTTTAATGATCCTTAAGTGACGTGACTGTACTCAGGTTGTTCCGTTGCCTTCTCTACGATTATTGTCCTTCTGCTAGACAAGTTTCCCTACCAAAACTAAAGAGTCCATTCACTCCTAAACTTTTACATATAGTAGAAGAGAGTTGGATTCATGCCTTTCACAAGTGGATTTGTGCGAAATGAAAGCTCCAGCTACAGTCGGAGTTTGATCTCCGCTCGTTAAGGATTTTGAGGATTCCATTTTTCCGGACCACTAACTGATACGACACACCGCACATCCATTCTATGCTATTCGAGGATATATATATATATATATATATATATATATATATATATATATATATATATATATATATATATCATTTGCCTTTTGCCAGAGAGACGACAAAGGAATATCATCACAGGATTTTTTTCGCCATTCGGAGAGCTTTCTTTCACGGATCGCTACCTTGTTTTACAACAGCTCAACACTAACCACTTAATACATCGGATGCTTCATTATGAAACTTAAAACGAAACAAAAAAAAACTGAAAGAAACAAAGAATACAGTAAGGAAAATTACAATATGAGAATAATATTTTAAAAAGAAAGTAAAGATAAAATATTTGAGCTAACAACAACACAGTTTCGGATTACGCATATACCAAGAAACTCATAAACCTCTTCCTGAATATTTAGAATACGTGCGCTTTTTCTGTTTTCAGTGACATAATGTGTCGGCTTTTTAGAAGCGTTTTTTTTTATTATCTTTAAATTCTACAGACGCTTCTAAATTAAGAATCGAATCATATTAAAAATGTCAAAAAACCTTCTCCACGTAGTATTTCTTTTTGCGAAAGGGCAAAACGTTTTCATCTGTCTTTTCACGCTGATGTGCGGGTATATATTTCGCCTTTGCACGCAACGCAGTATGTATATTTCAAACATCCAGCCTTAGATGAGCAAAATAACTCAACCACGGAATCGCGGGTGGGGAAAATTGGGCGACTCAAGAAAAGTAGATGTGTGAGTAACGCACTGGTATGCGTGCAACATACACCCACGCACGCATTCATTTACACACGCACATTATATATATATATATATATATATATATATATATATATATATATATAATAGCGCACGGTGAGTAATGATGGTAATAAAACAATGCATTATAACTGAACTAAAATTGTCACTAATAATAAATATATTTTTCTTGCTCGGTGAGGAACAATGTGTGTATATATATATATATATATATATATATATATATATATATATATATATATATATATATATATATATATATAGTGTGTGTGTGTGTGTGTACATGTCTACGTAGACGCATGCAATATGTTTTGGTCTTTTCAATTACATGAAATAAAATTAACGAATATATGTGACAATGTGTGCGTACGTACAGACAATCACATATACGTATAGAATACATTGACATGGACATGTATACACGTATACTGACACATGCTTATAATCTATAAGCATATATGTATACACACATAGGCTCTCATATACACGCAGGCACTGACATTGACGCAGACTCACATAAATACATATGCGTGTGTAGACGCTGAGATGAAGTACGCATACTCTCGTACATCCGCACACACACACACACACAATAGTTATAGATTCCGTTGTTTTATCCATCCATCTATCTATCTATCTATCTATCTATCTATCTATCTATCTATCGCGCCGTCTGTGTATTTATCAAACTAGCTATGATTTTTTTTAAATAGTGATTTTCTTCTTTTGTGTGTTATGTCTCTTCAGGACGTTGGCGATTATGCCTCTCCATAACTTTCTACCCTTTGTAATTCTGTATTTTCGCCATCTCTCCCAAATTTTGCTCTGCCATCCACCACGCTAAATTAGACTTCTGGACATAATTTAGCCCGCATTATATACAGTAAGAACACAATTTAAAGATGATTTAGTCAGGCAATAAAATGCAGTTGCAATCAATGCTTATGTTGATATTCTCCTACAGATCAACCGGGTTGAAAGAACGATGTATTGAAAAGAAAATTTACAACTTGTAGCATTCAGTCAAATTAATTAAATTTATATGCACTATCACAAACGAAGTAATAGAATGTAAAACATAAAACAGTTTTCAAACATACATGCATAGACGATATATATATATATATATATATATATATATATATATATATATATATATATAGGGACTGGTGCTATATATCAATCAGGCATTTAATCTCCTTCGAGGTAGTCGGCTTCTGAAGTCACACACTTCATCCAGCATCGTTTCCATTGATGGAAGCATTTCTGGAATTCCTCATTTGGGTTATCGAGCAGCTGCCTCATCGCATTCTCTTGGATTTCCTCGACGTCTTGAAATCATTTTCCTTTTAAGTAGGATTCGTTTTCTGAAAAGGAAAAAGTTGCAAAAGAATAGACCTGGTGAATACGGTGGTTGTCAGATATGGGGAATGTGGTTTGGGCCTAAAAACTGCTGCATAAGCCATGGTTACTGATGGAAACTCTGTGGTGTGGTGAGACGACCACACTCTACACACTTTCCTTCCAAGCTCTGCTATAAGCAACTGAAGTGAGCGTGAATGTTATAACTTAGTCTGTATTCGCGAATGTGCGAATCGAATTCACTCTATGTACTTTAGCTCCGTTGTCATTGCAACTGACCCGATAGATTTTATCAAACCTGGTATATATATATATATATATATATATATATATATATATATATGCAGATGTCTTACATGCCACCTGCCGCAGAGTCCGATTAATAAATATTTATTAACTGATAACTTCCAAGAACCTTTAAGGAAAATTCTAGTTGATAACACAGGGATCCTGTCCAGGCTACATAGTCGTACACAGTACGTCATTAGGGACGCTCTGCTTTTTAAACTTTATACCCCCACTTTCAAAATGATATTATTTAGCAGAAGAGATGGCTTGTTAGAAGTGTTCTAAAAATACAAGTTTTTCTCCGGTCAACTGGCCGTGCTCATCACCAGACCGCCAATGAAAACAAATCGCTCGAAGTCCACACTGTAAATCTACTATGTAGCAGCCACACAGAAGATTTTACCATCCGCACAAATGGCTAGAGAAGTGGCCAAAAGCACTCGGAACAATTTTTTTACGATGGACAATTTTGATGTTCTTTAACCCTTGAAACACGGGAAAATGTTAGATTGCTGTAAAAAAAAAAAAACTCAATATAGATTAATTAAACCTTCATTGTCGGGCGTTTTCAATGAAAGATGCATGAAAAAAAGGTTGCTGCCAAAATACCCATCAATACACACACACACATATATATATATATATATATATATACATACATCTGTATGCATGATTATCGAACACACACACACACACACACACACATATATATATATATATATATATATATATATATATATGATATGTGTGTGTTCGATAATCATGCATACAGATGTATAAGTATATATTATTTGATATGCTGTTATATGATAATAATGCTGGGTGTGTCAGAAAATTTGCATAAAGCTGACCGGTCTCAGCAGTCACATGAAAACCCACGTGCAAACTGAACAGACCTTACAAAACAAGCCAGGCCCTGTACAGAACAATTTACTGCGTCACATCTGCCAAAAAACGGTGAGAAACACTTGTTCGTTGAAACACCGTTTCCCTTATGATTACCGAAGTTAAGCAACGGCGATCCTGGTCAGTACCTAGATGAGTGACGGCTTGGGAATATCAGGTACATTAAGCTTGGTTGTGCCGATGGTGAAATGGATAATAGATCGGAATTGTCGATAGGAGAGGGGCGAGTTCCAATTAGCGTTGTGTTCGTTATATTCACTTATACGCAAATACCCTTGAGAAAAATATGAACCCACCTCTTCTCCACAGTTATGATTTTATTAGTATTACTTGTCTGGATAAACCATTATTGTCTACCCCCGACGAAAACATTCTTACAATTTCAAAATATCTTCTGGTTTTAAAATAACCTGCAAACGAGAGATAAGAAAACGAAATAGTCAACAATAAAAGCAAACCCCCTGTTAGGGACCAGTGGCATCCTCACGGAAACTTATAATATTGATCTGAATTTTCATCAATACTCCTTTAACAAATCGACATAGATCATGTATGTATGTATGTAAGCAGTGTGGCCATAGAAATAAACACTGAATCATAACTGGCAGTTTCACACATTAAATGATCATAAAACCCGTTCAATGGATTTGTCTCTATGCAGCGTTAATCGTTATGGCTCTGAAAGTTATATCTACAAATGATCTACACACGATACTGGCTACCCTATCCCATCAAAATAGTACATATACTAATAGACTCAAAAGATTATATGTGCATTTATGTATAAATATATTGATTATTAATGGAGGCACGGTGGAGTTCTGGTTGAGGAATCGGAGAGAAAGAAAGTCCAGTCGAGTCTTTTTCTCCCCATACCCCGATTGGGTCCTATAGATTTCCTTCTATATTGTGAATACAATTTCACCAGTCTCGAAGAAAGGAAGTGCCCCACCACTACTTCAAGCCGCGAATTAATGGACTCATCAGGCTTAGTAAAATGGTGTAAACAAACTGATTTCGGACCATTCGCTCATGAATGTATTACCTATGACACTATAGACGACAGTTAATTATTGAAACTCTTATCATATATATATATATATATATATATATATATATATATATATATATATATATATATATATCGAAAATAAAAGTATAAAACCGGTTATTACGAGACATTTTAAAAACGGACGAAAAACCGGTTTTCGCTTATATTTTGAATTATATCGGGTGCAAAAATTTTTAACAAAATATCTTTTAAATATATATATATTATATATATATATAAAAATATATATATATATATATATATATATATATATATATATATAAATTTGTTTTTGCTTAAACGTTATTTTAGATTGATATGTATATTCGTTTAAATGCTTTATTTATTTGTAGTTTTATTTAATTACATTTCTCGACGTAAATATTCGAGAAATCCCGTCAGAAATTATGCATCCTCTGGCAGGATACTAACCTGCATCCTCTATGGAGGAAAAGTCAATAGATCTGACGTGCTTAACCGATACAGCCAAGTAAGACTTCCGGTTAAACGAAGCTCAAAATAGTACTTTTGAACTCACATTCTCCGCCGATTCTCGAAACATCCATATCTGCTCTTTCTTTATTTTTTGTACCCTAAGACATTTTTATTTTATGAAATGGATTAAATCCGACAGATCTTAATTTGTTTTGCTTAAACGTTATTGAGATGGGTACTCATATTCGAGTAAATCCTCTGTTTATTTAATTAAATTTACCAGCCTGAATATTCAAGAAATCTTGTCAGGAAATATGAGTCCTCCGAATATTCAGGCCGGTAAATATAATTTAATAAAAATACAGGTTTAATTAAATAAATAAAGCATTTACTCGCATATGAGTATCAATTTAAAATAACATTTAAGCAAAATAAATTAAAATATGTCGGATTTAATCCATTTCATAATATATATATATATATATATATATATATATATATATATATATATATATATATATATATATATATATATAAAGTGAATGGTAGTTTACTTCTAACAAAAAAAACCGTCGAATTCTTGAACTTCCTGTTTCTCCATATTTTCCTGTGTTTTGTTGCTCACAGTTAATATTATCATTGTTTACCACCACGTTTTCGTCTTCGTGGTCTGCGATGAATATAGGCCTAAGTTTAGCATGGATGTTTTATATACACTTATGACTGACGTAACTGTTGATGCATTCTTGGTTGTTAATAAATGAGTTCATATGATAAATGACATTTAATTAAGCAACAACTAGTGATTTATGAACTTGACAAATATAAAGAGAGACATGACAGATATATGCCTCGTTGTGAGGTTATCTACATTACATAATTCATGTCACCACTAATGATCTGGTTGGTAAGAAGTTAAATGCCACACAGTTTGAAAGAAATAGATATACCAACTTATTTAGTAAATTATTTAACAGTTTTTCCTTTCCTAAGATAACGAATTTGGAAAAAGGGAAAAGACTGCTGAACTGATATGTAATTAACTAATGTCAGATAATGTACTGAATACTAAACAATTTCCTTACAGATTAAGAAGAAACTTGAAAGGTAAAAAATGTTTCTGCAAATGCTTAGATTTAGATCGACAAAACATGTGACTAAAAAGGAAACTTCTAGTGAAATAGGAACTACAAGAAATTGCATTTCAAAAAGTAATATCTGAAATTTCCGAAACATTGTTTTAACGAAATGTTCGTTCAGCCCAAAGTAGAAAAAAAAAATCAAGGTAGAGAGTTACTCAAGAGGTGGTTGTATGGACGTAAGATATGGAAGTAAGCGCATATTATAAGGATACTAGCAGTAGAGCCCGGCGTTGCCCGGGGATGTAACAGTAAGAGATAGATCAAGTATCAACCATCATAAAGACTGAAAAATAAAATTGACAAAGATTATTGTTTAAGGTTGACGGACACGCATATCTTAATTAGTTTTTTTTTTTTTTTGAATTGGTCAAACCCAAACTCAAACAAAAACATTGTTTTCAATCGTTATGAGTCTACCGATTGAATAGAATTTTATTATAAACAATTGTTTTGTAAATGGAATTTTTTAAAGCATTCTGAATGTAAAATAAAAAAAAAAAGTGTGCAAGACAATAAGAAACACTACCTGCCAAAAAAAAAAGTGAAGTTTTGTTGAAATCGGTTGAAAATGTAGGAAATCCGATCCCATATATAAACGAACACACACACACACACACACGCACACACACACACACACACACACACACACACACATGGGTTTTATAAGTATAACTCGATATAAGTTGTCCCCCTTTCATTCTGGCGCGTGATGCCTCTTAGTCGTGTTTTCAAATTGATTTTGTGCAAAAACAATTGTGTTTTTCCAATTTTGGGCGCTGTCAGAACCACCGCAAGGTTATTTTACGTAGTCCTGGGAAGTTTTGTTGAAATCAGTTGAAAAATATAGGAAATCCAATCCAATATATAAACGTACAGACACACACACACACACACACACACATAATAATCTGCGTTTTATAATAAGTAAGATGTAGGAATGATAACGCTAAACACTACTTTTTGAAAGGTAAATATAACCAGGGAAATATCGTCTCGGGTGTCCGTTCTACAAAGAAACGATTCTCAAGTTGAAACTTCCTTCTTACCAAAGGAATACGAAGCGACTGAGCACGATTCGTTGCTGTGTATACGGCAAGGTGTGTGCTAGCTATAATGTTATGATCTTGTTGAACTAATGAATGAAACACGTGTGAACATTTGACGTGTAATTAGCAATATAGTAGAAATAAGCTAGCAATGTTTCGCCTGCAAGAAAGAGCGTGCAGGATGAAAAATACTTCATTACGCAACAGGTCGCGTAAATTCCTTTGATCTCAGTCAAGGCTAGAAAGTAAGGATTGGGCAGCTCCAGTTTAGATACGGCAGCTGGACTCCATTTTTGTTCTGATCTGACTTTTGTAAAGATAAAGCAGAGCAGGAGGAATCATGTATTTCCTAGAGCGGCAGAGAAAGAACCGATCATTTTCCTAGAATCTAATGCGAAAAGTTGTCTTAGACAATTGAACATTCACAGCACATTTTGAAGCCAAGAGAAACAGCAGGAAAATCAAATGCATCAGCTTCATGTATTGATCAACATTTGCCCAAATATGACAGCAGTACTCCATTTCTTGTCTGATCTGCCTCTTGTAAAGGTACAAGATAGCACAAGATGTCAGGTACATACTTGAGCAGTACAGAAAGCCGAACATTTTACCTGTATCTTTAACGATGGCTTGTATGTACGACTTCCACTTGCGGTTGAGTTTAAGGCCCACTAGTCGTTCAAGACACGTGGCCTTCGTGAGGGAACATCTATTCACTGATGATAGTTCAGGGTCCGATCGGCAATATTAATAGTTATTTAGAGAAAAAAAACACAGGAAGTTGTGGAGAGACATGATTGCACATATCCTAAAAAGACATGACATGAATAAGTAAAATTACACTTGTAAATGCAAGACCATTATTTATACGCTGGAAATTGTCCCTTATGGTACAGTGTTTTTCATAAGAAGCATCAAGAATCATTTTCGGTTAACAGGAAAGGAGGTCATAATTTTCGGTAATATCATTATTTTTAATTTCGGGATATAATTTTATTATTGTGCGTAATACAAGGTTTGATCATACTTCATAATTCATACTTCAGCTGTCCCTTGAGACGATCGTAAAATTAAACTGGTATTTTAGCACATGTAGAATACTGAACTGTTACGGGACACCTTCTTTACGGCAGCGAATGTTGGACGATTTCCTCAAAGATGTAGAAGAGGATCGAGGCGACAGAGATGCAGCTCTACAGAATGATGCTAAGGATAACATGTACCAAGCATGTAAGCAACAATGAAATCTTAAAGAAGTCGCAAACAAGGAGGAGGCTTATACTTAATATCAGGAAGAGGCAGCTAAGGTTTCTGGGACGCATAATGAGGAAGGAGGGCCTGAAGAATCTAATACTCACGGGTCGAATAGAGGAAAAGAGAGACAAGGGAAAACAACGTGTGACATACCTGGTGGACTTGAACAAGTGGGTGACAGAACGTGGGCTGGGGGAGGAAGCAGATGGAAGGAGGTTGGTGAGAGCTGCA